TGGAAAGCAGCCCTGGTGACCAGGCGCCCAGTGCAGCCAAATCCATTCACTCCGACCTTCACCATAGTGTCTCCGGGATGCGGCTGGGACTACATGGGAACGATGGGAGAGGCGGCTGTCTGTCGCACGAGGAGGAGCAGGAAGCCACAAAACTTCTTTAAAGAGCAAGCCTGTTGCTTTCTCTGCTCGCCCTCGGCCTGGTGTCCTCAGGCCCGGCCCCAACACCCGGGCGAGTTCGTGGACCTGTATGTGCTACAGAAATGCCCCGCCAGCAAGCACATCATCGGCTCCAAGGACCACGCGTCCATCCAGATGAACGTGGCTGAGGTTGACAAGGTTACGGGGAGGTTCAACGGCCAGTTTAAGACCTACGCTATCTGCGGGGCCATCCGCAGGATGGGTGAGTCCGACGACTCCGTCCTCCGGCTGGACAAGGTGGACGGCATCGTTTCCAAGAACTGAAAGTGTGAATCCTAGACAGAGGATCTTTTCCATAATGGGAAAGATGTGATGCTACCTGTGCTGGTTCAGGAGGGTGTCAGAAATAAATCGTGACACCTCCCCCCCCAAAAAAGAGCAAAGATGTCACTTTGACAACTGAGTGACAAGCATGACCCAAGTCATGGTATTTTCAATCACCTCATATGCATGTGAAGATTGGATAATTAATGCGGAAAATTGAAGAAGAGTTGGTGCATTTGAATTGTGGTGCTGGTGAAGAATATTGAAAATACCACGGACTACCGGAAGAATAAACAAGTCTGTTTTAGAAGTACAGCGAGAATGCTCCTTAGAAGCAAGAAGGGTGGAATTTGTCTCACATACTTTGGATGTGTTATCAGGAGGGATCAATCCCTGGAAAAGTATATCAGGCTTTGTAAAGCAGCGAGTCAGTGAAACAGAGGAAACCCCTTACAAAGATGGATTGATACAGAAACAATGGGCTGAGACAGAATAACTACCGTGAGAGTGACCAGGACCAGGCAGTGTTTGTGATGAGTTGGAACTGACTAGAGACCACCTAAAAACAATAACAACAGCCTCCTAATGAACAAAGAATTTTTCTGTTTGTTAAAAGTAACCCATTTGTGGTATTTTTATTGTAGCAGCACCAGATAATGAAGACAATAACAACCTCAACCTGATTAATAACATCTATGAAAAAACTAAAGCTAGCATCATGCTTAATGGTGAAAGGCTGAGTGCTTTTCCTTAATGTCAAGAACAAGACCGATGTCTGCTCTCACCCCTTCTGTTCAACATCACACTAGAGTACCGGTCCTCAACCTGTGGGTCACGACCTCTTTGGGGGTCGAATGACCATTTCACAGGGGTCACCCGATTCATAACAGTAGCAAAATTACAGTTATGAAGTAGCAAAGAAAATAAGTTTATGGTTGGGGGGGTGGTCACCACTACATGAGGAACTGTATTAAAGGGTTGCAGCATTAGGAAGGTTGAGAACCATTGCTCTAGAGGCCCTAGCTAGTGCATCAAGGCAAGAAAATTAAATAATAGGCATACATATTGGGAAGAAAGTAGTAAAACCATATGTATTTGTAGACAACGTGATCATCTAGTAGAAAATTCAATGGAATCCACAACAAAAAGCTTATACAATGATTGTTAGTTTAGCAAGCTTGCAAGATACAAACTCAATGTATTACAAAAAAACTATTTGGTGGGGAGGGAGGGGAGAAAATGAGGACCTGATGCCGGGGGCTTAAGTGGAGAGCAAATGTTTTGAGAATGATGAGAGCAATGAATATATGGATGTGCTTTACATGCTTGATGTGTGTATGGATTGTGATAAGAGTTGTATGAGCTCCTAATAAAATGATTTTTAAAAGACTGTATTTCCATATACTACCAATGAATAATTGGAATTCTCAACTTTAAAAATAACATGTACAATATCAAAATATCTGAAGCACTTAACGGTAAATCTGACACGAAATGTGTAAAACCTGAAAACTAAAAAAATTGGCTGACAAAAATGAAAGACTAAATACTAATCTTGTTCATGGGTCACAGGACTCAATACTATTAACATGTGGATTTTTCTTAAATTGATACACAGATTCAGGGCTATCAAAGTTAAAATCCCATCAGGCTCTTTTTTCCTGTAAAAATTGATACCACCAAGGGCTCAAGTAGAAAGAAAAGGTTTTGAAAATGATGATGGCAACACATGTGCTCAACACAATGGATGAATTTATAGATGGTGATGCATTATATGAGCCCCCAATAAAATGATTTTTAAAAGAAAAAAAAGGTTCTAAGAGCGGGGAGAAATTTAAAAAAGAAAGAAAGAAAGACATCGATACCACCACCAGTTGCCATGAAGTCAATTTCAACTCCTGCACGCCGAGTCGAGTTGTGCTCCGTATGGTTTTCAGTGAAGTAGCTCGCCAGCTCCTTCTTTCCAGGCAGCCTCGTGGCACAGTAACTGTTTGCTCGACCCAAGGTCTCAAGAAATTGATAAGCAGATTCTACAATTGGAAATGTAATATACTTAGGATACTAGAGATAGCATTTCCTGATTTCAAGAGTCATTCTAAAACTACAGTCATCAATACAGCATCATATTGACATATAAGACAGACAAATATACCAATGGGACAGAATGGAGAGTCCAGTAATAAGTCCTTACATTTATAGACAACTGATTTTTTTGACAAAGGCACAGAGGCAATTCAGTGGAGGAAAAATAATCATTTCGGTAAATGGTGCTGAAATGGTTGGATACCTATTACAAAAAGGTAGAGACCAAATCATTTTTTAAAAACAACCAAGCTTATTGGTTGGAAAGAGATTGATTGGAACCCTTGAGACTAAAAGCCTTAGATAACCTTTCAGGCCCAGACATAAACTCACTCCTGTGGTTCCATTGTCAGTCAAAACAACAGACAGGCAATATGGAAAATTATAACACTAATTAAGTATGAACAATTTAAAGTCAAAAGGGTGGCATTTAGAAGAGTTAGAAAAGAAGGAGGAATGGAAACAGGAAATGCAGAGAGGAAGTGTTTCATCGGTGCACCCTGATTGGCTAGTATCCTCCCCATGACCCTTCTGTAAGGGGATGTCCAATTGTCTACAGATGGGCTTTGGGTCTCCACTCCACACTCCCCCTCATTCACATCAATATGATTTTTTGTTCTGGGTCTTAGATGCCTGATACCTGATTCCATCGACATCTCGTGATCACATAGGCTGCTGTGCTTCTTCCATGTGGGCTTTGTTGCTTCTCAGCTAGATGGCCACTTGTTTATCTCCAAGCCTTTAAGACCCCAATAATGCAAACCTTGTGAAAATTCATTTGAAGGTTCTCATAAAGTTAAGTATAGATTACAACCCAATGCTATGTGAGATGCCATGACAGTAGAAAAGGCATTCTGTAAGTCCACAAATGGTAGTTTTGGCAGAAGCATTGCGTGCAGTGAAGGCCAATCCATATCCAGAGTAGGTGTCTATTCCAGTAAGAACAAAACACTGCTCCCTCCATGATGGAAGTGGTCCTATGTAATCAACCTGCCACCAAGTTGCTGGTTGATCTCCCCGAGGAATGGTCCCATATCTTGGACTCAATGTTGGATTCCACTGCTGGCAGATGTGGCACTCAGCAGTGGCAGTGGCCAAGTCAGCCATGGTGAATGGAAGTCCATGTTGCTGCGCCAATGCATAACCTCCATACCTGCCACCATGTCCACTTTGTTCATCTGCCCCTTGGGCAATGACAGGAGTGGCGAAGGAAAGAGGAGGACCAGTCTCTACAGTGCGTGTCATCTTATCCACTTGAGTGTTAAAGTCCTCTTCAGAGGTAACCCTGTTCACGTGAGACACGATTATCTTTACCTTCTTGGCCCATTCAGAGCGATCTATCCACATACCTCTTCCACCCCACTCCTGGTACCATAATGTGTTAGTCCGGGTTGACTAGAGAAACGAATTCATAGACATTCATATATGTTTAAGAGCTAATTTTATATCAAAGAGTAATTGTATATTGAGAAAACATCCCAGCCCAGTCCAAATCAAGTCTGTAAGTCCAATATTAGCCCATATGTCTGATACCAATCTATAAATTCCTCTTCAGACTCACAAAACACATGTAATGACGAATGCAGGAAGGTCACAGGCCAGTGGGTGGAAAGTCTTGTGGATCCTGTGGCAGTGGAAGCATCTCACTGGCGGGGGTCTCCACGTGGCTCCTTCAGCTCTAGGACTCTAGTGTAGCTCCATGTTTCTTTTCAGCAGAAAGACCAAGCAGAGACTCTGCGTATCTGGCCTCCAGCGAGCTATTTATCTCTGTGGCACCTCCAAATGAGATCCTCAAGCTGTGACCTGATTGACAGGCTAGACTCCACCCCTTCTCAAGTTGACACCAAGATTATGTAACTACCACACATTCCATCAACAGAAATGAAGTACTGATACATGATGATCCTTGAAAACATTACACGAAGGGAAAGAAGCCAGACATAAAGGGTCACATATTGTGTGATTCCTTTATGGACTATCCAGAATAGGCAAACTCATAGATAGAAAGTATATTAGAGGTTGACAGCTAGCAGGAAGAGGAAGGAAACGGAGTAATTGATATCGGTTATGAGGTTTCTTTTTGGATAATGAAAATGTTCTGGAAAAAAAGAGAAAATGTTCTGCTATTAGTGACATGGTTTCATAAGCTTGTGTGACCACTGAATCGTGCACTTTAAAGCGGTTTTATAGTATGTAAATTTCAACATATACCATTTATGTAAGATTGGCGTAAATGGCAACTGAACCATCCTGCTAACCACAAGCTCAGCTGTTCAAACCCAACAACCACTCTGTGGGAGGAAGATGAGGCGATCTGCTCCGGTAATGATTTACAGCCTGGAAACCCTGCACGGAGTCACTATGATCTGCATGAACTCAGTGGCACTGGGTAAAGTTTCCTTGCAGAAAGCAGATCAGTGGTTGCTTGAAGATAAAGATAGGGAGGGATTCTAAAAAGGAGGAGAAAACTTTTCGGGGTAAGGATTATATGCTTACTATTTTGATTGTGGTGATACTTCATGAGCATATACATATTAATACAACTCTTCTTTTATGCTTTCATAGGCAACTACCATATCTTTCCATATACATGTCACTTTGTGATATTCCTCAAAGAGGACATAAAAAACCATCTTCGGAGGCGTTTATGAAGCCCCCCCAAATTATAAAGTTATTGCTGGACATCATCATTTTTAGTTGGCTGGATTATACAAATGTGGAATCTCTTATGCTTTGGATAGCCACAAGCAACCCTGTTGACTCATATCTGTTGATATTTTGAGCCTTATCTCACTTCTTTTTTGAAAACAATCTACTAATTTTTGTGTTGTTGAGTGCTGCTGAAATGCGTCTGACTCACAGTGACTCTATACTGTTGGTTAGGCACAGGTCGGGGACATTAGGAACAGTTCGACCTGCCCTTATCTGACCGAGACAGCTAGCCACAGGGCTCCGGGACAATGAGCCATTTCCTCGGAATCAGGCGGAATAATCAAGACACCACCCCGGAATGATCAAGACACCACCCCGTTTCGGAATTTCACGGATGGAGACATCTCGGAATTTCATGGATGGAGACGGCTTAAGCCCCTGCAGCTGCAGTCCCTACCCCTCCCTTCTCGTTTCCCCTCCTGACCAGCTGAACAACTTGCTCTTCACCACAGATAGATGCGACTTTACTGGCCCCACTCTTGGACTTGTGAATCTCACCCAGGAGCACAGAATAAACTTCTCCTTCTCCTTCTCTCTGGCCTGGCCTCACTTTGTTTTTGTGGCGAGTCTAATATATATGACAAAGTGGTATTGCCCCATTGACGTCTCTTGGTTGTAAGCATTATGGGAGCAAATTGCCAGGTCATTTTCCCACAGAGCCACGGGGTGGGTTCAAATATCAGCCTCGCGGGTAGCAACCCACTTAGTGCTAGGAATCATCTGTTCGTTAGGATGTGGCAAAAGCAAAGGGGGGAGAGTACCCCTATGTTTTACAAATGTTCTTAAAACCTTTTTGAGGACAGGGAGGAGTTAAGGCTAAGAAAATTTGCTAAAGATGGGGGAGTACAGTTGTGATGTTTGGGCCTTTTATCAGGAGAGGCGCTACGGGGAAATACTCTGGTTATATTTAGCTCGTATCCCTTTAGCTCTTGGTGCCTGGTGATCTTCAGACGATGCAAACCCTTCCGGAGGAGTGCAAAAAAAATCAAGGGTGTGCAGAAGTTAGGGGTTGAGGATTTTTCTGAGACTTGGGAAGAAAGCTGCTTCCCAAGGTTGAGGCACGTAGCTAGACCGGCATTTATGGAGGGGTAAGCCTTACAGAGGTTCTAACATGCCCATTGGACAGTCAGTGGGAAAACTGGTTCCCAGGTGTGGAAATCAGCCAGATTGACCAAAGCATTAAAGGGGCAGATGCATTTCTTTTGATTGATTGTGTGTGTAGGGATGTCAGCAGGCACTGAATGGCAGTGGCTTTGCCAAGGCTTGTTATGGTTCCCACTTCATTCAGAACAAAAGCCGAAGTCCTTACAGTGGCCCTGAAAGTGCAATAGTACCTGCCACTTGACTTTCAACCATATTGGCCTTCTTGCTATTGCTCAGGCATACCAGCAATAGTGCCACCACAGAGCCGTCGCCCTCCCCTGTCTAAGCCCGACACTCTGGATAGCTGCACAACTCACCCTCACTTCCTTCAAATCTTTGTTCAAATGCCTCCTTTTATGTAAGGACTTCCTTGGCCATCCTATTATTAATGTCATCTGCTCACTCCCACTTGTGATTCCTTTTACCCTGTTATAGATTTTTTCTTTTTTGTTTGTTTGTTTTTAATCATTTTATTGGGGGCTCACACAACTCTTATCACAATCCATGCATACATCAATTGTGTAAAGCACATTTGGACATTCGTTACCCTCATCATTCTCAAATCATTTGCTCTCCACTTAAGCCTCTGGCATCAGCTCATTTTTCCCTTCCCTCCCCACTCCCTCTTCCCTCATGAACCCTTGATAATTTATAAATTATTATTTTATCATGTCTTGCCCTGTCCGACGTCTCCCTTCACCCACTTTTCTGTTGTCCGTCCCCCAGGGAGGAGGTCACATGTAGATCCCTGTAATCGGTTCCCCCTTTCCTTTCCAACCCACCCTCCCTCTACCTTCCCAGTATCGCCACTCACACCACTGGTCCTGAAGGGATCATCAGTCCTGGATTCCCTGTGTTTCCAGTTCCTATCTGTACCAGTGTACATCCTCTGGTCTAGCCAGACTTGTAAGGTAGAATTGGGATCATGATAGTGGAGGTGGGTGTGGGGAGAATATTTCTTATACACATTGCTTATTATCTCACCCTAATTTGAATGTCAGCTCCATGACAGTAAACATTGCTGTGGGTTTGATTAGATGTTGGGCTGCTAACCGTAAGGTCAGAGATTCAAACCCAGCAGCTGGGAAAAGACAAGGTTGTCTGTTCCTGCAAAGAGTTGCAGTCTCAGAAACACTGAATAGGGTCACTTTGCATCACAGTCAACTAGATGATGACCTCATTTGGAGGCACAAAGTGGTCCATTGGTTCTGGTATTCCTAGGACCTCTAATGCTTGGCGTATAGTAGAAACTCAATACTTACTGAATGAATGATTTATGCCTTATTGTATTACTAGTTCATCAGGCCAGTACTTTCTATGCTGTAAGGGCTCAATAGATGTTTGTTCAATGACTTGGGGGCATTTTGTGAGGATCCACTCCCTTATACAACCATATAAGCTCTTGGATACAAACAATGGACATGGTTAAAAGGCTCCAGTGTGGAGTGAGGGATGCAGCCCACTTGAGGAAGAGGGGTCAAGAGAGCCTACCTGTCCGTGTCCATCTCTACTAAACTCAGCCCTAGGCAATAGCTCCAATAGCTCCATTTACTTCTTTTTGAAGCCACTCGAGAAGTGGCTCCTTGAATCAGCTGTCACAAATTCATAGCTTTGTCTAGACAGTTTTAAAAATTCCATTGTGAACTAAGTGAAGGGTTACATAACAGATCATCACTTTTACAGCTAACAGTTCAGACACATTTTGTGTCAACTCATTCATTGAAATCCCCTCAATGTACCATCACTTATCTCACTGCCTCCCTGTTTTGTTTCCATTCCTCCTTCTTTCCTCACCCTCTTACGTTTGTCCTTAGGTAGATGCTGCCTTTTTAGTCTTATATGGCTGATTATCTTAACATGGGGGCAAGTTCAGTCCCAGACCTGAAGGGCAAGGCCAGTCTTGGGGGGGTGGCAATTACATAATCTCCTGCCAACTTGCAAAGGGGTGGAGTCTAGCCTATCAATCAGGTTGCAGCTTAATGACCTCATTTGGAGGCACAAAGGAGATAAATAGCTCATTGGAGGCCAGATACACTCTCTCTGCTACACATTCCTGTTGACAAGCCACATGGAGCTAGAGCCCTGGAGCTAGAGGAGCCATATGGAGACCCATGTCATCGTTGAGATGCTTCCACTGCCACTGGAGCCACAAGACTTTCCACCCACTGGCTTATGATCTTCCTGCATGGCTGCATGAGTCTAAACTGGGCTAATTATTTCCATGTGTTTTCCCATTTTCATCCCTCTTCTTTCTTCTGGATGGAGAGAGACCAACAGTTGCTTAGATCACTGCTCATGAGCTTTCAAGACTTCCTTCATTACTCACCAAACCAGAATATGCCAATTGATCTTGATGTATCTAAACGGTTAAGAGGCAGTGTCCAGCCATTAGCGTGGATGGCAGATACTTTTTAGCTCACAGCTTCCTCAATTTCTGAGATGTAGAACAAACCAATTTGGACAAATTGAAGAGATCATGGTCCCCAACTTGTGAGTGGTGCATGGAAAATTCACAGGCTCACAGAAGCTGTTGCTGTAGTAACTACTGCCAGGGGGCAAGCCTGGCATTAAGTGAGCACCAGGCAAGGAGCCAAGAGAAAAGCACACAGATTCAAAGGATTTTTAAAAACAAGTGTTTATTGGTGCACAATGTACAAGAAGCGGATTGCAAAAGGCCCCTTAAATTGTCCACTGTTCTGACTATCCAGTCCTCAAACAGAAAGCTTAGGAGAGGCTGCTGACAGGGACCCAAGGAGACCAGAGCTCAATACTCCCAACAAAGAATGTTGGAGTCATTTTCAAATGTAGGGGCAGTGAGCACTTTAATTCGGGAACTCCGAATCTGACAGAGGGTCAATTTGAAATATGTGGCACCTGAAACCGCCAGGTTAGGCCATGTGACCGGCCAGACACAAAGGTGCAATGCCATTTCCCGAGGATGGCTTTAAGCCAGCGATTCTCAACCTGTGGGTCACGACCCCTTTGGGGGTCACCTGATTCATAATAGTAGCAAAATTAAAAGTAGCACGACAATCATTTTATGGTTGGGGGTCACCACAACATGAGGAACTGTATTAAAGGGTTGCGGCATTGGGAAGGTTGAGAACCACTACGTTATTGTGCTGTGGAGAAAAGAGGCAGCTTTCTGGACCAAATGAAACCTATTCAGAGTAGGAAGGGGACTGCTGGATATGCCAGAATAGGAACCTATAGACTTCCCTCCTGCCAAATGGCAAATACAGCCCTGGCCAGGATCCCAGGGGCAGTATATAACATTACAGTGGGTACTCCACTTACCTCTCTGCCTGCACTAAGAATCTTGTTTAGGCAAATTTGAAAACAGATGAGCTCTGAAATTCAATGGTGATGATAAAAAATTAAATGAGGTGGTGGCTATTATACTTCATGTTGTGGTTTCTATATTGAAAGGTTTTTCTAAATCATCCTTTATCAATCCTGTGACCATTGATCTGGCTAACTCATTTTTTTTCTCTACTTGTTAACTTTGGCTATCAATAGCCGTTTTCCTCAGCTTGGCAGGGCCAGCTATTTACCTTGATTCTCTTGAATGGGTGCAACTATTTAAATTCTCGATTTTCTGACAATGTCTGCGTGTGTGTGTGTGTGTGTGTGTGTGTGTGTGTGTCAAAGGCCTACATCTAACTCAAATACCAGTTATTAGATCAAAGAGTTAGTGAATGGGGACAAATTTCATAGTTTCTTAATTCCAAGGGTCAGCTCAGGATTTAAGAAGCAAGTTGATTTTCTCTGGCCTTGCACAGCAAGCAGAGAGGTGGAGCTGAAAAACAGTCCAGCCCACCAGTTATTAATTCATCATTTTACTAATGACTTGACATGGTTTTTATTATATACTAATTTCTGGTGAATAGTGGGTTTATTTCTATTATCATTTCTGGTCCATTCACTTTTGACCTTGTTTCTGTATCATATAGATATTTTTTCTTCCACAACTTGCTAGTCGTAGATGAAAAAATATCTTCTAATCTCCCTGAAGGCAAATGTTTCATACTGCACAGAACTGGGAACAGTCTGGGACATGGCAGTGGGGCCCACCAGTCAATCTTCATCTGAGTCGCTGGGGCCCACGTATTCACAGATAGCATCGTAGTGAAGCTCCACCAACTGATTCTCTCGCCGCAGTTGCACAAAAGCCCGGCTCCCCTCTGTGTCCCGGTCCAGTAGACATCCCACCTGGAGCAGGAGTTGGGTGGAGTGAGCAAGACCAACCCAGATCCTAGGCCTGGCCCTGCATGGCCATCAACCCTCCATTCTCAGGTCCGGGACTCACCCTTCCAGCCTGTGGTCCAAGCACCACCATTACACGGTTGCCCGTAACTTTTGGAATCAGGGTCTCCAGCATGTCTTCCGTCAGGCCTGCAGGTGAGGGAGAGGAGAGTAAGATCTGTCCTGTCAGAAGGTCATGCCCGTATTCCTGGGAGCCACCCCACAACCAGTTGACAGGTGGAATCCCACTATACTCATGTCACAGGAAAGGGAGCCTCACAGAGATTACTGTAACAGGTGTCTGCTATCATCACCACTATGATGACCTTCTTGGGGTGCCCTTCGTTTAGACAGGTTTAAGCAGTGCCTTACAATGAGAGCGCAAGGGTGCCAGTTGTACAGATGGGAAAAATGAGACTCAGCTAATCATCATCACGAGCGTTTCTAACGTTCTGTGAGAGGATGCTGGGCCTTGCAAAAACCTGCTGAACTGTGTCCAACCTCCCAGTCTTCGCCAGAGCAGCCCTCTTAAGCTACGATGTCCTTCTCCACAACAAGCTCCATGATGATAACTACCCAGCAGCCATCCTGCAGACACACCTTCTAGGATCTGGCCTTCATCGGTCCGACACACACAGGTACCTGGGCTCAGGACCTCTTCAACCGTCATCTGGGGAGGGAGGTCAGGGAAATGTGAGGATGTGAGAAAGTGAGGGTGGCCCAGTTCTGGGAGAGGAAGGGAACCCAGGCTGTGGGGTTCCCACCTTGGTGTTGTAATACTGGCCGCCCTTGTGCAGCTTGTCCACGAACCGCACACGTAGATCTCTGCGCAACCAGTGCTGACTCGTGGTGGCTGTTTTCTCATTCTTGGCTGCAGGCTCATCCTGCCTGTGGAGAGGAAGCCAACACCAGGCTTAGCTCGGCACCAGACACATTCCCAATGCCCTGCCTTCCCCTTTGCTGTGAAACCTACCCAGAATGCATTTCCTAGTTCTTAATGTGTGTTGCCTTGTTCTGGAAGCCTTCTTTGGATTGCTCAAGCCTACCCACACCCCTGCCCGTTCCCTCCATCCAAGATGCCCAGGACCCCCACCGGTCTGAAGGGTGTTTCCGCTTTCTGCCTGAGTCCTCGCACAGAACATGCAGGTGCTGATCCTGGAGGTGTTTCCTGGATGAGATGATTCCGTTCCATGGTTCTGAGGCTGTTTTGCTCACCTGGCCTGTGTGAGGAGGTGTAGGAAGAACCAGGAAAGAGCCTGAATGTCTCCCCAACCCGTCCTTTCAAAACAACTCAGCCTACGGCCATTTTCCCCCTGCCAAAGTATCCCCTTTCTCTCAATCACCCATTGCCTCGACTACCAGAATGCCCCTCTGCTTCCTCTTCAGTCTTTTCGGCCTCCTTCAGGAAACCTTTCCCAACCATCCCATCCACACTCACAGGGCTTACCCAAGTCACCTGCCCCCGGGCTATTCTACCTGCCTAGAATGCCTTCTTCCTTGGTCATAACCTAATCCTAGCTGCTCTCACTCCCGAGCCAAAGAGAGGCTCATCACCCAGGCAGACAATGACCTCCTGAGGGTAGAAATAGGATTTCCCATGTTCTTTCCCATGTAGAAAGGGGCTAAAGACTCCAGGGATACTAGCTCAACTTTCCTTCAATCAAACTGAAAAAATCACTTATGATCATTCTCACTCTTGGTCTTTGACCAGAAGGCATACTGCCAGGAAGCCCTCTGACCCTCTCCCCTGCAGACTTACAACCCACCCCAGAGGACAACTCCCAGCACCCCCAAGAGGCTCACTCACTGAGATCAGAACAATTCTTGTCAAACTCCTGCTGGGAGACAGGCCTCAGGCAGTACTCACTGACGGTCACCACACGGCTCCCAATTGCCAGACGAACCAGGGCCCGGGCATTGTCAGGATCAAGGCCTTCCACCTAAAGCGTTTGGGGGGTAGAAGTATGATAGGGCTGAGTGAGTTCCACTCACATTACTGGGACCAAGTTACTATCCCTTTCTCTCTACTAGGTCTGGTGTGAGTCTTTTGTCTACAATGAGGTCTGGTCCCGGTGTCCCATCCCACCAGATTGTGACCCTAGAAGGCTGGGACCTGGCCTAGTCCTTGTGTCTCCCCCACCCTGCTCATGACAATATTCCTTGCCACCTAATCTGCACCTCCATAAAGATCTTGGTTCCTTACCTTTCCATACATGCCTCGGTGGGGACCAGACAGGACTACCACGGGTCCATCAGGCACCAGACCTTGAGGTTGGTCCTCCTCCTTCACTTGCTTCTCACCTGGCTTTGGTGCTTGGTGGGGGACCAGGTCCTTGGCCTCAGTCAGGTTGGCACCCAAGCCTAACCCCTTGGGCCTCAGTGAGTTGACCCGGGGCTTCACCACTCTACATAGAAGAACATGGGCATGCTGGAGGGTGCAACAGCCTCCAAAGGCTAACCCGCCCCTGCCATCAGCATTTTAAAGAATACCCCGTCTCATCCCATATTTCCACCTAATAACATGATATGCATACCATCTATCATGTGCTAGCTACAGTGAGATGTAGGACAGATCCCTGTACATGTACAAATGTATTGACATTTCTACAGGGGAAATCATATAATGAGTCCCACCAAGTGAGAAAGCCAGACTATAAAGAACAAATGCCATGCTAATTCAAGATATGTTGTCAAATGACTTATGAAAAAAAAAAGTTGGGCTTTCAGAATCCTTTGGAGGCTGGAATCGAGGATAAGGATTTGTAAATTCGTGGAAGAACAGCAAAGGCTTGGCAATGCATTCTCTAGGCCGGGGCCTACTGTGAGTTACACGTAGAATTTCATTTAACCTGCTCAACGGACCCATTAAGTCAGGACAGTTCTCATCTCCATTTTTGAGATGAGGAGATTCAAGCCCAGAGAGGCAAACCTTACATAAATGGGACCCCACCATACAGTGTCAAAGTGCAAACAGAAATTTGAAATAGTAGCTGAAGAGCCTGCTGCACGCACCGGGGTGATTATGTGTTGTCTCTCCTTGCTTAGATTGGTATGAGCTGCCAGTAACCATAAGAGTCTTCTTCACTGCCCCACCTGTCCCTGTCTGTCTCCGCGGCCTGCCCCAGAACTCACTGATTGAAGGTCCGGCCAATGCCCTTGCCAGGTTTCCAACCCATGCCTCGCAACATGGCCAGCCCATAGACCTCCACAGGGATTGCCTCGTAATCTGCCTCCTCCGGCATCTAGAAGTTCAGAAGAGGAAAGGATGTCAGGCTTTGCTTATGATGGCCTATGCTTGAAGTGAACCAGCTATCACCCTCTAGTCTCTGTTTCCAGTCAGTTCAAGGGTCAGTTTTGACTTTCTCTAGCTGTCCCATGCTTCACTCCTCTGTGTTTGAGAATTCAACAAATATTGTGCTGACAACATCTCGTGCAATGGGGAGACACTGAAAGCATTCCCCTTACAAACGGAACCAGACAAGTGCTAGAAGTCTTGGCCAGAGTTATTGGATGTCAAAAAGAAATCAAGGGCATCAAAATTGGCAAAAATGAAGTACAGCTCTCTATTTGCAGATGATAATGATATGATTCTATATTTAGAAAACACTAAAGACTTGACAAGAAATTTGTTGGAAATAACTGAAAACTTAGGTAACATGGCAAGGTATAAGAGCAACATAGAAAAACCGATCAGATTCCTGTATACCAATGAAGAGAGCTCTGAAAAGTAAATCAAGAAAACAGTACCATTTATAATAGTCATCCAACAGATTAACACTTAGGAATAAACCTAAACAGAGAAACAAATGATTTGTACAGAGTCAGTTACAAAACATACTACAAGACCCTGTTGACCCATTTTAAAGTGAAGGGGAAATATACGTAGAACAAATCCCTGGGGAATTACCTCTGACCATGGACCGTGGACGTGAACAGCTTGGCTAACATGCAGAATGCATCGGAAAGTGGATTGTTGCCGATGCAGTTAGGTTAACATTTAGCACCCTATCACTTGATCCTCCATTTCAATTTGTTCCCGTTTTTAATATTTTCTGCTTTCTTTTCAATTGAGGTTTTTATCTGCTTTACTGGTGTTATTCTTGTCAGTTTTATTTTGGTTGTTATTTGTTTTTTAAATGTTTTCTGTATATGACGTTCAGGATAGGTAACTCTATAAAGACGGTAACTGGATTATGGTGCCTTGGGGGTAAGGCAGGCAAGGTTGAGAGGAAATGGGGAGCAATAATGATGAGTACCAGAATAAAGAAAATGTTCTAAAACTGATTGTGGTGATGATCATACAACTCTTCTTGATGTGAGCGAACTATTGAATTATACGACATGTGGATAATATGCCTCCATGTTGCCTCTCCTCAGTTTGACAAAGAATCCATGCACTTTTCCACATCCCATATTTAGATTTGGCAATGGTCCCAAAAAGAATAGAAGAAGGAGGGGACAGATAGCAGGCCTTGGAGGCAAGCCTGGCAGACAGGGCATAGAGAGGTTTGGCCAGGAGGGGATTGGGGAGCCAGCTCACTGTCTCAGCCTGGGGTTCGTTATCTGTCCCTTCCCTTTCGGGGATGCATCCTTTCTGGATCATGGGGATAGCCAGCGTGGGGTGGACACCCTCATTCTCTCTCTCCTCCAGAGACTTCTTGGATTCTAAGGAAGATAAGAGGGAGCATTGACGTACCACTCTTCCCTTCCACCCCTTCATCCTTCACTGGGGCAGGATGAGAAGTGGAGGTTACTCACCCTCAATGAGCTCCTTCACCGCCTGGGACAGCAGCCCCCCATCTACGGAGCCTTCAGGATTTAAGGATGGTCTAGGTGCTTGGGCCAATTGCTGCTTCCGATGCCCATTGTGAATCAAAGGAATTACAAGTTCTTTGGGGACTTCCGAGGACTTCACACTGATGCCGCCAGAGAGGGATGAGATTGAGAGTTAACAGTCAGGGATTTCACAGCCACAGCCCTTTCTCTAGAGAAAATACGAAAGCCAAACTCATCCCTTGCCCAGGGCCCACATACTCCATTCTCTTGTCTGGCTCTCTTGTGATGCCTCTGATGGTGCCCTCTCTGTATTCTTTCCCTTCCAAACTGAACTGCCCTCAAGTTGATTCCTACTCATGGCTTCCAGAGACTCACAACTCCCCAGCTCCAGGCTCCAGATCAACCTCCTCAATTGTTGAACCTCTTCTGGGAGTCCCCTTCTCAGGTCCTTCGGGTTCCTCTTTGTGTGTTAAGTTGATGATGTGGAAACCTCCTGCCTTATCCCATTCCCCGTATCAGAGTGGTTCCATCGCATCAGTTAAAATACTAGGGATCCTGTCATCCTCTCCTCCTTTCTCTTAGAGAGTACACACCTTAGAGTCCCCAAGTCGTATAGACAGACAATTCCTCTCCGGACACAAGCACTCTTCTCAATTCCCATAGCTATTAGGCCAAATTCTTTCGAACCCTCCCTCCTCCAAGCACGCCCGCTTGCTTCCACGAATTTCCGCAGGCTGCGCTTCAGGCTTTCCAGCTTATCTTTGCTGTGACAACCAGCTCAGAAGCCGCTCTCCCTCTTAAGCCCATCAATCACAGTGATTCCAGGGCGTGAGGGACTCTGCACTTCACCTCTGAAGATCCCTTCCTTCCACCGTCTTCAAGAAACCCTTGTCCTCCGGTTCAGCACTCGCGCAGTCTCCCCGGTCCAAAACCCGCCTCCGGGTGGACGTTCGATTGAAGACGAAAGAAATTGGGACAGTAGAGATTGCCGCCGGCCGCGAAACACTATCTCCGGCTTCAGCCATATTGCCTCTCTTCCCAGGACCATGCACTGTTTGCTGGGTAGTTTAGTTTGGGCTCTATTCGCACCAGGGCCGGCGGACGAGCGGAAGAACTACCGATCCCAGGCATCACTGCAGTATCAGCGAGGGCGGATGTGAGCGTCAGAGGTGTTCATTGTCGCTCGTTTTTAACTTCATGGGAACGCCTCGCGCCAAGCATTGTGGGGAATGTAGTTCGACAAGGGATGAGGTCGATTCATTTGTGCAGGTATTAATTCATTCGTCTGACAAATAGTTATTGAGCACCTATTGTGTGCACCTTGTTGCGTCCTACTGATGTGGAGTGTTTAGATAAATTAAGTCTTTAAGGAAAACACCACCATTTGCAGTAATAGATGAGAATAAAAGAAATCTCAAAAAACCAAACTCACTGCTTTAGAATCGATTCTGACTCAGCGCCCCTACAGGATAGGGTAGGCGTGCCCCCTGTGAGTTTTGCAGATTCTGTTTATGGGAGTAGAAAGCCACAGCACCCAGGAATAAACCTAACCAGAGCCTTGAAGAATTTATACAATATAAATTATAAAGCACTGCGGAGAAAAATTAAGGAAAGCTTAAATAAGTGAAGCCCTTCAGAAGCTTAAATAAAAGGAGCCCTGGTAGTCTAGAGGTTATGCTTTGAGCTGCTAACTGCAGGGTAAGCCATTCAAAACTACCAACACCTCTGAGAAAGACAACGCTTTCTACTATGTAAACAGTTATTGTCTTCGAAACCCACAGGGGTAGTTCTCAATTGACTGGACAACAGTGAGTATCCATTTTTAAATCAATGGAACAATGTTCTGTGCTCTTGGGTTGGAAGACCTTAAGATGTCAATACATTAAGATGTCTAGAGATTAAATGCAATCCTTATCAAAATCCCCATAGTCTTCTCTACAGAAATGAGAAAGCTGCTCCTCTACTCGCACGCGGAATGGCAAGGTCCCAAGTAGCCAAAGTAATCTTGTAAGGAAAGAACAATGTGGTGATACTCACACATCCTGAATTTAAAAAAATATATATATATTATATTATATTATATTATATTATATTATATAGCTACAGTAATCAAACTAGCTTGCTACTGAAGAAGCAGTAGACAAACAGACGAGTGGAATAGAACTGAGAATCCCCAAACACACATCTAGAGTCAACTGTTTTCTTTTGTGTGTGTGCTGTTGGTTTTTTAATAAATAGGAGCCACATCACTTCATCTGTTACAGGGAATAATAAATGAGAAGCAATAATTCAAGGGGGCCCAGAAAACTTTTGTTGTCCACAAAATTAAAGAATGGATAAGGACCATCATCACCACAGCCGTTGGTTAACTTGTTCTTTTGATCAAACATCAGCATGTTACTTCCAGAATGGAACGTGCTCAGCACATCTTATACTAGATGGGAGGCTAGTGGCTTGCCTTGACAATGGAATTGGGAGAGCCCTTACTTAGCTGAGGAACCTGAACAAGTGTTCTTTGATTTCAGTTTTATCCCAAGGCCCATGAATGTTTTCTTTAAAGAGCTGCAGGTGAATGAGCTATGGGAGGGACACGAGCAGAAGGGCAAAGAGGCTGACTCCCACCCCACTGATGGACAGCAGGCCTCCCAGGGCAGAAAGCGCAAAAAGCAGCGTGACCCCCACGTAGCTGTGAGGAGTACATGCCTTCAGTTTCTTCTGCAACATGGGCCAGAGGGCGAAAATCTGGATGGCAAACGTCGCCATGGGAAGGCATGCAGAGACTGAGGCAGGCGGGAAGTCAGGCAAATGGAGGTGAAGATGGCCATATTCAAGGACAGTGTGCTGGACACAATGGTGGCTTTGGCACGAACCATAATCAAAGAAGACGAGATGGCCTAACAGCATGAAGATGGACATGGTGTCAGTGCTGACAGACTCTGTCAGGGCCTTCAGCACTCGGGAAAAACCCTACATAAAAGTAGCGAAAAGCAGCCTGCTCTTCAGGTCTGCCCAACAGGTCCACCCACTCTTCTTCCGCCCATCATCTCCATCACTGAAGTCAAACTAAGCTTAGCCAATCAGTGAAGAAGCCAGGCTGGTCCCAAAGAGCCAGCACAGGGCCAGCAGACCCTTGTCCATGTACCACCAGATAACCACACACACACAACACAAACACACACCTTGAACAACTGCTGTGTCACCACAATGGACTAAAACACCACTGGTTCCCCAGTAATGGTATTTACCGGCATACATGTTTTTCCGGAGCTCTTCCACAATGGCTGTCGCTCATACAAGACCTGCCACCTGGCCTCGTTGGTGCTCCTTACTGGTTAGTCACACATTATCCTTTTCTTCAAACTCAGGACAGTTCAACCTCCCTTGCAGAAGTCCCTGTTGTTCCGGGTCTTCATGAAGGTTTGAAATAAGATCTTGCCGGAAATTCCATGCTGTGCTGTGCTGTGCTGTAGTTGATAATCTACCAACCTTACCTTGCTTCCCAAGGCAGCCACCCAGGGTAGGCCTGCAATTTGTTATCTGAGGCAGACCAGTACAGCAATTTCCTGTCCATGGACTCCCAGGGATGCGCGGCTGGGGGAGGGTGCTTGAGCCAACTGATTTTTTTTTTACAAAGAGGCTAAGTGCATTAACTGCACAGGTTTAATTAGAAATTGTACTTAAATTACAAAGGTAATTATTTTGACTGCTTAGCTTAGAGTTCCTTTTGTAGTGCACTGCTTAACTACCTTAAAGCTACTGCAAATAATAAACTTTTGAAACATAATGATGTTTTCTGTCTACATTCCTTATTGTTATAATTTATTCCTATGAAAGACATTGAATTTTTTTTCTGTGATTTCTTTTCTTTAATCGTTTTATTAGGGGCTCATACAACTCTTATCACAATCCATACATACATCAATTGTGTAAAGCAGATTTGTACATTCATTGCCCTCATCTCAAAACATTTCCTCTCCACTAAAGCCCCCAGCATTAGGTCCCCATTTTCCCCCTCCCTCCCTGCTCCCCCCTCCCTCATGAGCCCTTGATAATTTCTAAATTATTATTTTGTCATATCTTGCCCTATCCGATGTCTC